TCGGGGCGTCAAGTCCGAAGAAGCTGAAAAGTCAACAGGGACGTGATCACCGGAGCCGAGTCTTAAGTCAAAAACTTGACTTGTAGAGCGAGTGAATTTATCATAGAAATTTACAATTATTAGATAGTAGCTAATTCTGTTTCTGAGATTCGGGCCTGTATATTCCATAGTATTGGGTTTTCAAGACGCCAAAAATCTAATAAACCCATAGTAATTATCCAGTCGAAAAGTTCAGGTCTTCCATTGTCATGATAATTAAGGCTCGGCTTGGCTTGGTCTACTTCTGGGTCCATAGTAATGTTAAAGTCACCTAAGACCAAGTGATAAGCAGAGTCGTCAAATCGCGTGGTAAAGCGTTATAGAACTTGGAGCGGTCGTTTGATAAAACTGGATCATATACCCCGCGAAAAAAATGTTCATTGCACCAAGGTGTCCCGTTACGACCATACACCTAGTGTTGAGGATGGGGTCCGTGGCGTGCCGTTGTGTGATACCTTGAAGATTACAAAATGGGTGCGCTCCGCTAAAGACCAAGGCGACCTCATCGCGCTTTTGATATACATTTCTGTGCTAGTTAGACCAGTAAACACAAGCATTGGAGTCATATGCGTGAAGAAAGTAGTAATTAGTTGATAATGAAGCGGGGCTTGATAGCTTGGTTTCTTGAAATGCACTAACTTGATAGCGGGAGAAGATGTCTTGATTTAATCTTAGGCTTGAGCGATTGAGTCCGTTCACATTGAGTGAAACAGCCTTATAAGCCCAGCTTGATTGATTAAAAGTAAAGTCTGGGAGTTAATTCTCCAGTAGGGGGTGGCTTGAGATCTTGAACCTTTTAAACTAGAGTTTTCAAATAGGTTGGAGCGGACTTGTATTGCATCACTTCTTTAGCAAACGTGGTAAAACCGAGCAACCACATAGTATGATCCGATGAGAGGGGATATTCAAACTGGAGAAATACTGGGGGCTCTCATCGGTTAGTACCATTATCTTGACTGGGTCATGGTACACCGTTGGGGCCATGTTATGAATAACTGCGTCTTAAGCAAGTGAAGCGAATAAAGCCTCGACTGCATTTGACAGTACTGGTTTTTTATGTTTAAGTAGACGGTGGAGCATCTTGTCAGCAGGCCCAAAAGCGTGGAGAAGTTGTAGGCATTTTTAGTACCTCAAATTTGCCTTGGGCGAAATCGGTAGTAAGGCCAATAAGCGGCACACTGCTCTGTTAGGTGCAAGAGTGTCAACTTTTGCTTTAGTTCCTCAGTGTAAGCCCTGAATTAGCCTTGATAGTTGCTAACTGGTTCAGATGGGGCCAACTTTCAAATTTCTTAGAAAGAAATTCACAAAGTTTGAAAAATTCACCCCGAGTCATATACTCAACTTCGTAGTTAATAATTACCATGGCAGTGTAGGTCGAGTCATCTTTGTATGGTGGGGTGCTCTCCAAACACATATCATCGTCTTCAAAATGACGAATTCCAATATCAAAATGCCATTGCGGTATATCAGGGTCTAAATCATCAAGCCACAATGGCTATAATAATTAGGCCTTACAACCTTTTTGGCTTGAGTGGAGCAGTCCAAATCCTTGACCTTTTATATTATGGAGAAAATGTTCTCAGAGTTCGGATGTTAACAGCAGATAAGGCTCGACGATTTTTAGCCGCTTTCGCCCATACTGGGGCGGAGGGTGAAGAAACTGGTACAATAACTGTTTCATTCATTAGGTCAAAATTATCTTTAAGACTAACTTGGTCATGTTGGGAGTCATCATCACTATCATCATAAATTGGAGAACTGTCCGATGTTGACGTTGCGCCATCATTATCAGACGGCTGCAGGCTGGGACGCCTGAAGCGATTGACGTAGCGACTGATGTAAAGGTACGGACGGCAAATTCCTGGATACAGTATCAGGGATAGCTTCGGTCGTAGAAGATGTAGTCTCCACTTGTTTGACCGCTCTTTTTGCTGCTTCTTGTTCTTGATGCAGACGAATGGATGGTGGAATGATCCAGTTATAACGTGCCACCTTGTGGTCAATAAAGCACGGGCGGAGATTAACTCTATCATCATCAGGGGAGGAAAAGAAATTTTATGTAAAGGCTCGGTTGGTGATGAGACCAAAAGAATTTTGTGCGAATTACACGGTGCGTTATCTTGAAGATAGACCGTTACGCATGTAAGTTGGTAAAATGCATGTGGAAGGTGCACCCACGAGATCAGACCAGTCGAATATGGCTTGATCTGTTACTTCGTCGGAAAGTCGAACCAAATCCACATAGTAACGTGGGCCATACTTCGAAAACTGTGCTTTTTGAATTGTTCAGCCAAAAGCGGGTCAATGATACTTGGCTCAATTTCAAAGCCATGTCATACGACGCGCAAGTAAAGCGAACACTGGCTTTATGGATAATCAAAAATCCTGTAGAAGCCGGGCTTGACGTGCGTCCTTCCCTACTCGGGGCTGTGAGTCCGTTGCCAGCTAGTCTAGTAAATTCGCCGAATGTTTCTTACGGATTACTGTAGGGCATGAGGTTCGCATACGATGTAATTCAGTCGATTCGGCTGGCATAGGAGCTAGCTTAAGTGCATTGCTCCGTAGCGCATCGAAGTTTAATGAAGCTAGTTCGGCTTTACTGGCGGCAAGGAGCGAGTCCGTTTAGACTTGGCGAGGATAATAAGCGCGCAGTAGTTCTGGTGCAATAGGCATCTTTTGAATATAATTTTTTCTCTCTCGTTTATATGTAAATGTAGTATGTTTTTTTCGCTTTACTATGGAGAGTTTCTAAGAGCTCCAGGCTCTAGTCTCGGTAAAGTCGACGCGGGTGACTGACTGCAGTTAAAGTGCAAACGAAAACTTTGACGGATTTTACCAAAGTCTTAACTGTAAGCCACGCAACGCAAAGTGTAGCTTAATACACGGCGTATGACGGCTGCAATCCTTTATCCAGTCCGTAAACTCCTTGAACGGTGGTTCTTAACTCCTTTCAATTAAAATGCAATTTGCACTAGATAACAGGAAACGGGGGTTATATTTCAGGTGAAAGGTGCGCATACCTTGTTGGGGTAAAGGGGGTGAGTGAAGGCACAGAAAGCACAGCAGACATTAAACAGCAAAGACCGCGAGGTTGAAGCTTGGCAGCGTTCGAATCGAGAGGTCAAGCAAAGTTGGCGCTACGAAGGCTCTCAAAGCGGGAGAAGCAAAGACAGACGGAGGATGCAAGTGGACGGGGTACAGACGGGGTCTGAACACTTTTGTAAGTGTGGACTTTTCTTTTCTTGTGCATGTGTGCGGGAGAAGGCGAATTGAGAACAGGAGGGCAAGTCTGGTGCCAGCAGCCGCGGTAAATCCAGCCCCAATGGCGTATATTTGAGTTGTTGCAGTTAAATAAGCTCGTAGTTGGATTTCTGTTTTGGATGTCCGGTTCGTTTCCTTTAAAAAATGTCCTTATAGATGTTTGACGCACTTTTTTGAGGCTGCCTTTCTGCCATTAAGTTGGTGGGTTGGTGGGCTTGCATCGTTTACTGTGAAAAAATCGAGTGTTTAAAGCAGGCGTTAGCTCGC